ACATACAAACCTCCCCGTCAATGTTCCTTGGCAATCGCCAGGTGCCAGCGTGGAATCTCTGGCCAGGACCCAGTGATCGACAGCTGTAGCCACCAATGGCAGTGCGCCCCCTACCTGGAGATGCAAAATCATGTGTATATATACCTGATTTTGCGCAGCCCTGCCGCCCTGTAGCAGTAGTTCTGCTGTAGGGCGGTTAAGCAGTGTGTTGCACCGACGTTTGTCAGCCACCTCCACTGAATTCAATGCCTAATGCTCTGTAACCACACCTAGAGCATTTATGACGGGTTAGTAAGGTATTTATAAAGTGTTAGCTGGGCACAGGTAGTGAGAGGCGCCTGTATCCCAGAATGCACTGGGAAATAGAGGACTAGGACAGAGCAGCTCCAGCCACGTCTTGTTTATACAGAGCAGCCACGTTGGTAACACCATTTGCTTCTCCATTCTGGAAAAAGTATCAAGCCAGCCAGCAATACTGACAGTGCCAGGCAGGAGCTGAGACATTGAGCATTATTGCCAGTGACAAAGCTTTGGTTTCAGCAAAGTGTTGGTACCAGCAAATGACCTCCCCAGCAAGTATCTGTGCCGGCAAGTGGCTGAGCTTGCATGTTTCCGTGCCGGCAGCCGGCAAGTTAAGCTGCATCAAGCCATGTGTCAGAGATCAGAGTATGCAAATCGCAGAGAATCCAGAAGTCTTCTCACATCACAACTTAACCCCTTCACGCCGGATCGTCTGGAGGTGGGCGGGATGGGGTGTGGCTTAGTATCATGTGGCCGCCGTGACGTCACGGCCGGTCACAGGATCGGGAAAGGTCCCGATCGAAAGAGCGGACCGGGACCTTTCCGTGAGTACCTCACATGTGTGCTGGGAGCGCGCAAAGCGCGCGCTCTCAGCACATATGTTTTTTGTTACATGAACGCAAATGTGCGGCCGCTCGGCATCTAGGCCCATAGACCGGGAGGCCGCACATTTGTGTGTGGCCGGCGTGAAGGGGTTAACCATCCCTCAAAGTAGATCACTTCCTCTTCATCACTTCCCCTTTAACCACTTCCAGCCAAAGCCAATTCTGGCGTTTCTCTCCTACATGTAAAAATCATCATTTTCTTAGCTAGAAAATTACTCAGAACCCAAATAATTCAGTAAGCTTTGATTAAAGGCTGAATTAACATGAAACGCATTAGCTGGACATTCCGCTCCCCTTTTTTGTCTATTTGGAGTTGCTTTTATGACTTATTCCACAATAAAGGTGATTTTTGTCGGATGTGCGGCCAACCAGAATTTTTCTAGCATCATGGAACCTGTGACGGACAGGGCCAGCATCTGGTAGTGTTGGTGGGGTGAGGAGACTGACCTGGAGCGGTGTTTGCTTCCAGTAGCTGCTTATCTGCCAGACCGCCTAACTTTCTGTAGAGAGCTCACAACAGTGCTTTGCTGAAAATCCAAGCAGTGTTGTCACCACTGCCCGGTTCTTCTTCTCTTTAAATTACAGAGGCACCCATTGGGACGTGTGCTGTGTCTACAGATGGGTGGGAAGAATCCTATTTGACAAGCAGCAAAATAGTCATTTGATGTATTTCAAATATGGTGACTCTGATCCATCGCAAGACACCACACATCCCAGTGGGGTTGAATGCAGTGAGGCTAGATGTCCATCAAATTAAAAATTAGATTTAGGGATTACTTACACTTTAAATCTCAAAATGAATATGAAGTAAAAAAACAAACCCCAAACCACCCGTTCTCTGGGGTTGGCTGGCTTAGATGTAGGGCATGGGAGCTGCGGGTCAGTATTTGCATACAGTAGGTTTGAGACATCTCAGGATGTTGAAAAGCAAAACTGGCCTGATGTGCCAGCAGCAGTTCAGGCATTTTCTAGTAGTCCCTCCACTCTTAAAGTGGAAGGAAAGGCTTCGGTTCCGTTAACTCCCCACAATCCGTTAAATAATAAAAGTCCATTGTTTTGTGTACAATTTTTTTATCCTTTTTTTATTGTAATGCATTAGTCACGTGACTGCGGTGACTCTTGGTTCCCACAGCTAGGTCAGCTGGTGGGCGTGTCTCTTTCCTCCTGTTCCTCCTCTTAGAGCGGGGGTCTCCAAACTTTCTAAATAGAGGGTCAGTTTACTGTCCTTCAGGATTTAGGGTGGCCAGACTGTGGCCGGTAGGAGTAGAAAAGGTTCCATCGTTGGTTTTAGTGGGAGGAATAGTGCCCCATCAATGGTGTCATGGGGAGAAACCTTGCCCAATAATTGATGTCATTTGGAGGTATAGTGCCCCATCAATGGTGTCATGGGGAGAAACCTTGCCCAATAATTGATGTCAGTTGGAGGTATAGTGCCCCAAGGGCTGGATAAAGGCAAGCACAGGACCACATCCGGCCACAGTGTGGAGACCACTATCTTAGAGCACTCTCATGAATGATGATGCTTGTGCATACTCATTCTTCAGAAAACATGACAACATAGATGAGGTGGGATGTGGGTAAGACCTGGTGGGCTGTGAGTTGGGTGGGGTGTGTCAGATGAGGTGGGATGTGGGTGGGACCGGGCACGCTGTGAGCTGGGTTGGGTGGGATGTGGGCGGGACCTGGTGGGCTGTAAGCTGGGTTAGGTGTGTCAGATGAGGTGGGATGTGGGTGGGACCAGGCGGGCTGTGAGCTGGGTTGGGTGGGGTGTGTCTAATGAGGTAGGATGTGGATGGGACCGGGCAGGCTGTGAGTTGGGTGGGGTGTGTCTGATGAGGTGGGATGTGGATGGGACCGGGCAGGCTGTGAGTTGGGTGGGGTGTGTCAGATGAGGTGGGATGTGGGTGGGACCGGGCACGCTGTGAGCTGGGTGGGTGGGATGTGGGCGGGACCTGGTGGGCTGTAAGCTGGTTAGGTGTGTCAGATGAGGTGGGATGTGGGTGGGACCAGGCGGGCTGTGAGCTGGGTTGGGTGGGGTGTGTCTAATGAGGTAGGATGTGGATGGGACCAGGCAGGCTGTGAGCTGTGTGCTGTGAGGGGGTCTGTGTGGGTTGGGGGGTGTGACCGGGGATGTGGGTCTGTGAGCTGGGTTGGGGGAGTGTGTCTGATGAGGTGGGATGTGGGTGGACCTGGTGGGCTGTGAGCTGGGTTGGGTGGGGTGTGTCTGAGGTAAGATGTGGGTCCGATGCTGTGAGTGGGTTTGGGGTGTGTCCGATGAGGTGGGACCTGGTGGACTGTGAGATGGGTTGGGTGGGGGTGTGTCCGATGAGGTGGGACTTGGTGGGCTGTGAGCTGGGTTGTTCATGGGCGGGCTGGCCTATGTTACTTGCACAGACACCGACAACAGTAGCGGGAAGTGCCTGGGAGCAGCCACATTCTGCTGCACAGGCACATCATTGTCGATGAAGCACAGGGGAATTGCTGAATGTCTGGATTAGAGTGTTTTCTAACCAGGCATTCAGCAATTATTATTATACAGGATTTATATTATTTTATACAGGATTATTTATTATACAGGATTTATGGCACCAACAGTTTGCTCAGCACTTTACAATATAACGGGAGACAATACAGCAACAATACAGTTCAATACAAGAGGGATAGGAGGGCCCTGCTAGCAATTCCACTAATGCATGATATACAAATGCTACGTATTTTACATGGAAATAAAGGGTAGTTTTTAATTTTTAACTGGAATTCCACTTTAAAGTTGCACTTTAGCATGTCTTGGATATAACCACATCTACTGTATATTTTCACTGTTCGGTGCTCCAGCAGTGTTCTGCACAAATGTGCTTCAGGTACTTGTAGAAATGCATCCAACTAATTGGGGATGGTCTGTGTGTCTTGTGTTTGGGAAAGGGGTGGTGGAGGTGGTCATGCGGTGTTGGTGAGACCTAGGAAGACATGTATGTCCTTAATGGGAAAAAATTGACCAATGTCTTTTGGTATTTTTATTGTGCAATTATATTCGGGGTGTTCATCAGGTTGGTTAAAGATGCCAGAAAAAAAGCAGATAGTGAGCTGAAGGAAATGTGTAGACAGAGATCCTTAAAAGAAGCTCTCAGGAGCGTACACAAACCTCAATACCATGTTGTACTTTCATGTTTCCTCTCACCCAGAAATCATACGAATGGGAAGTCAGTGGCAGCCCGCATGTTTTACCTTTATTAGCAGATTAAACATCCTCTCGTTGCCCTTCATATGTAAGGTAATGCCAAACAGTTCTGCTGTTAAAGTGCTTGTAAAGGCTCCAGCTTTTTTATCTTAATACATTCTATGCAAAAAAAGTTAAAAGGTTAAAAAAAAAGTGTGCAACAGCATCTCCAGCTCCCCTTAACACGTACCGGAGCCCCTTCTTGATCCTGCGATGTGTGCAAGAGCCTCTGCTCTCCTGAGTCTCTCCATCCTCATTGGCTGAGACAGCAACAGTAGCCATTCCACTACTGTCATTCACAGCCAGTGAGCCAATGAGGAGGGGACGGAGCCGCACCGTGCTTTGTGTGTGAATGGACTCAGGAGTCCCCATAGCAAGCTGCTTGCTATGGGGGTGCTAGGCAGGAGGGAGGGACCTGAAGTGCCGACAGGGGACTCGAGAAGAGTAGGATCGGGGCTGCTCTGTGCAAAACTACTGCACATCAGGTAAGTATAGACATGTTTGCTATTTAAAAAAAGAAAGAAAGAAACATAACTTAATATCTATTTGGCTTCCCACTGACTGAACTGTGACTGGTTTTGGTTTAAAGAGAAGTTACTATGTTGCCTATAGCAATGATATTTCTGTCAGTCCAGGAAGTGAAAAGAATAATCCGGTTCCTGTGAGCAGCAGGATATACATTACTTTAAATGTGAGGCCCTGAGGTTGTTTGGTCTGTTGTCTGACTCTATACGTCTTTTGATTTATGGAATGGTAGTATTGTTCACTGAACAGATATTTCATAATCTCCTTTCTTTGCAGGGATGGTCATGAATTCCCAGAATCCTTCAAAGATGCCGGGACCTCACGGCGGTGTTTCCATGCCAACACTAAGTCCCATGGGCATGACGCAACCTCTCTCGCATGGTGGCCAGATGCCCTCTCCGAACGCCATGCCACCCAACGTACCTCCTCATGGAGGCCCTATGGGCGGGGGGATGATGCCACACACTGCTATGATGGGTCACGGCTCCCAGGATCCTCCCATGGTGCCTCAGGGACGCATGGCTTTTGCCCAAGGCTTTCCTCCAGTCCAGTCGCCTCCACAAGTTCCTTTTCCACATAACGGCCCTAACGGAGGCCAGGGAAACTTTCAGCCCGGGATGGGCTTTCCAGGAGACGGACCTTTAAATCGTCCTGGCAACCTTCCGCCAAATGCAGACCCAGCACTTTGTAAGTCGGGTTGCCCCACAGGACCAGATTCCTTTACTGTTATGGGAAATAATATGTCTTCAGTTTTCACAGACCCAGACCTACAGGAAGTTATCAGACCAGGGGCCTCTGGTATTCCAGAGTTTGACCTATCAAGGATTATTCCATCCGAGAAACCCAGTCAAACACTGCAGTATTTCCCTCGTGGGGAAGTCCCGGGCAGAAAGCCGCAACAAGGACCTGGTTTTTCACATTTGCCTGGCATGATGGGAGAGCCAAACCCAAGGATGGGTCTTCCAATGGGTGGCATGGGAGGTCCTGGCCCAGTGGACATGCCTGGCCACAATTCTATGAGGCCTCCAGGTTTTATTCAGCAAAGCATGATTGGACCTCACCATCGCATGATGTCACCAGCACAATCAGGAATGCCTGGCCAACTAACTATGATGGGAAATCCGGGAGGGGTGGGGATGATGCCGGGAAAGGAGAGAATGCCCGGAGTACTATATAGTCACCCAGGACCTGTGGGATCTCCGAACATGTTGATGTCAATGCAGGGGATGATGGGACCTCAACAAAACCTCATGATTCCCCCTCAAATGCGCCCACGAGGAATGCCTACTGATGTTGGGATGGGTGGTTTCAGCCAGGGACCTGGCAATCCGGGGAATATGATGTTTTAAGCTGCTACAAACAGACTTGTTGAAAATTGTAGAAGTGAGATTGTCTCCTGAGAAAACTTTTAATATGTAAGGAGTCCCATTTTGGCCATGCAATAGGTGAAAAAAAAAAATAAAAGGACCCAAATGTCGATTTGGAGGAAACTCAAGAATGTATGGAACTATCTGAGCATTGCTTTCATTTATTCAAGGTGTTTTTTTTTTTTTTTTTTTCTTTTTTGTTTTGTTTTGGTTTTTTTTTTTTTCTTAAGATTTATTTTTTAAAAAATATTTTTGTGGACTTGGATATCCCATGATGGCACCTGCTTTTGGGGGATAAAAAAAAAAACAAACAAAAAAAGAAAAAAAATCCGTAGCTGTTTTTGAAAATTGCCATTTGTCATGAGTTGCACCATCCTGTATGTTTACGTCGTTTGGATTGGCTTCTTCAGGACAAACCCGATTTATCTTTTTTTTTTTTTTTTTGTGTACTGTACAATATTGTAAAAGGGATTTTAGCAGAGACTGTAGTCTTTGTGTGTGAGAGGAGATTCATTCAGTGCTGTTTACTTTCGGTGGATGATCCACCTTCAGAATCTTGTTACTTTTTTTTTTTTTTTCTCCCTTCTTTTAACTCCAGTGTATAGTAAACCAAACTAAGACCTCATACAGAAAGAGTATTATTAAAAAAAAAAGCACAAAATGAACTATAAAGTCCAGTTAGGGGGATCTCCTTTCTTTAAAAAAAAAAAAAAAAAATAATAAAAAATTAAAACTTAAAAAAAAAAAAAAAGAAATTTCATTCTATGGAGAGCAAATACAACCATTTTTTGTTCCTTTTTAAGTTTCATTCTACGTTTAATGTCCCAATCCCTCCCCCCATTTTTTTTTTTTTTTAATCCTCTCTGCGCAACGTGTAATTTTTTTTTCCCCCCCGGGAGGGAGGTAAGGTAGGAGAGGCTGACGTCGTATTTTTGCTATCGCTTTTCCCATGCTTTTGTCAAGAAGCCAGACTTCATGCTGTTACATACATGGACAGTCAAGACATTATGCAGTAAACTCCAGTCATCCTGTCTCTGAGCAATCCTGAGTGATTCATGATGTGGGAGTGGAAACCAGTTGTGGGATTTTTATATATATTATATATATTTTTTTCTCTTTCTCTCTCTTTCTCTCCATTTTGTGACGGTTATTTTTTTTTTTTTTTCACTCTTCCTCTTGTCCCCTCTTACCCAGCGTTTAAACATTCTGTGTAATCTCCATTAAATTTGGTACAGAACCACTTGCCAGGGCTGTGGTGTCGGAAAAATAAAATATATTTCTTACAAATGGAGCGGAGTCTTTGTTCACCGTGTAATGCAGTTGACAGTCTTTAGCAGTTGTTTTCAGAGATGGTACTGTAATCTCCGGTGCTGTTTTTTTTTTTCCCCTCCCCTCCCCCGCTAAGGTTAAAGTGTACATTTTGGATTAGAACCCCTCAGCTTCTTTATTCAGGGAGCATCTGTGACTGAGGCGCACTTTTCAATTTGTTAAGACAATCACACTCATATGAGCAGTGCCGTCTCTTTGCTTGGGCTCTGCCCGGGGGCCCCTGCAGTGTCTGACCAGTCCCCCCCCCCCCCCCCCCCCCCCCCCCTAGCTGGAGCAATCGCATGTGGATGTGTAATCAGTGCCCAGGTGGTGGAAATAACTGTAACCGATCTTCTGTGTGGCTCTCATTGCAGCAGATGAAATTCGGGAGAGCCACAAAAGATCCGTTCCAGTAATTCCCCCCCACCAACCGCACTGATCACCCCCTCCTGTCCTCATGCCATTCTCCCGCGGCACTGACGACTTTCTTCCACTTCTCTCCAACCAGCCGCTGTCAAGGAGAGATCTTCAAGATGGAGAGCAGGGAAAGGTGCCGGTAAATATGTAATTAACTGGGTCCTTACTTTTTCTTTTTTTTTACATATGAACACACTGAGTGATCGGTACTGATCGCTCACTGTGTCCATTCGTAACGGAAGCATAGTAAACTGTTTTTTTACTATGCTTCAGTTTATGAATGGACAGGAGTCTTTGTCTCCTGTTCATTCATCTGCAGAGAAATGGACTGGGGAGTATGTTTCCTTGGTCCCTTTCTCTCGAAAGTGAGACTTCTTTTGTCGCCTCTGTTTTATACTGATTAAAACTAATAAAAATTATTGAAATACAAAAGTGAGACTTCAGGATCTGTTTATACCCCTGATATCTCACCAGATTCCCAACAGCATTATGGGAAAAAAAACATGTAGCTCGTAACTGAGTTACAGATTTTTTTTTTTTTTTTTTTAAGGGGAGCAGGCAATGATTAATTTTTAATAGGGAAACCAATCAATTCTACAGTCTTTACCTAGGTGAGGATGATGGCTCTTTCCCTGCCTCATCCCCTCCTGCAGCCTCCCGGTCACATTCACAAAGCACCACACAAGTGCAGTGGGAAGCTGGCTGTGAATCCTCAGGAAGCCACATCCGGCTCCCGTATACAAGATGGTGGTGAGGACCCACAGCAGTAGGAGGAACTGGCTGCAGGATGACAGCATTGGACTCTAATTACTGGTAACTATCTGATTTTTAAAAGTCAACAACTGAAAAACAAATTGAAGTTCCTCTAACGATTTATTAGGATGTTTTGGAGTCTGTTTTTTGGTCTGGTGTTCTCATTATAACTTTCTATACCAGGTATTACCCTTTCTATTTGACCTATCCACTACTGTCACCTGGGTGGAAAGTAAATGGAAATACAAAATTTTAGGTTGTCATCAGAACAGGAATGGAGGGGAGATCTTTCAGTGGGGACATTTGTTTGGGTGTCAATGATTTTTCTCTTTGGAGAGATTTCCTCTCACTTCTGATGTGTCAACAGGACCAGATGTAAAGGAAGATCTCCCCTATGGGACACAAATCAAATGGCAAAACTTTCCGAAAACAAAAAAGTTTTGCTTTAGAAATGCTTTATGCCCCCGTTAACACCAATGTGATTTGACAATCCAATATCACATGACAGGTCACACCCTATTTGTGCCTATGGAACCGTTCAGACTGTACGGTGCGGCAGTAGTTTTTGAAAGAAAGGTTCCTGTGTTATGTTTGCTGATTTCATGTGAGACTTGCATGGACACAGATGTCACAGATGTCAGACAGGCCACACATGAAATAGCACTGACCAGCGGATCTGAAATCACGCTTCAAGTGAAGTAGCATGATTTCAAAGCCGCTTTCAGTGTGAACCAGGGCTGAGAGGGGTGGAGGGGGTGTCCAAACGGCTGGGATGTTCATAAGTGATCCTAAAGCTGACCAGATGTGAGCCTGTCACCTACCTGAGCCGTCCTTTTGGTAGGAAGCTTAGAGGACGTCTTCTGTAAATGACTCTGGAGACTTTACAGCTATAGCAGCCCCTGCAGAACAGCCGTCTATCGCATTCAGCACACATATTACAGCAGTGCCGTCTGTTTTTAGTTGCCCATTAAATGTTAGTCCTGTAAAATGGTTTTCCCCGCGGTGTGACGGCGTCCCCTGACAGGGGAAGTTCTCTGTGCCGCGTGGAGCCACTTGTTCCAAACAAACCATCCATCATCTGTCAACAGATGGACAAGCAGATAAGATCACCAGAAACTACATCAGTATGCTATTTACTCCCCGAACGCTTCAAATCAGCTTTATTAATGGGGTGATTTCATTGTTCATCAAGTACATGAATGGCACCATATGGGTGATTAAGAACATCAGGCGAGTATGGGAAATCGCTCTCTAGTTCCCTCATGTATTCCCTGAAATGGTTTTTGCACGTTAGCTGGTACATTTATCTGAAAGCTGTGTTTATAGTGACCAGGTGAAAGCTGATATCCGACTTACGGTAGGGAAAACCACTCGGCAAAATACGCAGGAGAGGGAGATGCATAGATGGGCAGATTGGGCGATTCCGGTGCTGAACTTCCATCTCAGGATGTGTATTCCTTAGAAATGGTAGAATTCAGCGCCAGTCAACTACGAATGTAGGGTCTTTATTTTTTTCTTGCAAAATTATTTCCAAAAAGAATATGTTAAGAACAAAAATTGCAGTGTTACCTCATCGTGATATCCGTATAAATAACATGTAACCATTGAAGATTGGTATCCGATATATATAGATAGATTGATAGAGAGAGCGAGATAGAGATTATATCTATATAGAGAGATATTATAGAGAGAGAGAGATGGAGATATTAGAGAGAGAGAGAGATGGAGATATTAGAGAGAGAGATGGAGATATTAGAGAGAGAGATGGAGATATTAGAGAGAGAGATGGAGATATTAGAGAGAGAGATGGAGATATTAGAGAGAGAGATGGAGATATTAGAGAGAGAGATGGAGATATTAGAGAGAGAGATGGAGATATTAGAGAGAGAGATGGAGATATTAGAGAGAGAGATGGAGATATTAGAGAGAGAGAGAGAGATGGAGATATTTTAGAGAGAGAGAGAGAGATGGAGATATTAGAGAGAGAGAGAGAGAGATGGAGATATTAGAGAGAGAGAGAGAGATGGAGATATTAGAGAGAGAGAGAGATGGAGATATTAGAGAGAGAGAGAGATATTGGAGAGAGAGAGAGATATTGTAGAGCGAGAGAGGGGGAGGTATATTATAGAGAGAGATATATATATCTCTATCAATCATCCCATAACAAAGTTCAGTAATCAAGGTTACATTAATGCTGACAAAGTGAAAACCATTATAATCAATGAGCTATTACAACTTTTCTTGGTCTAAGTGTGGATGAAATGTCTCCCAAAGCAAGAGTTGGTTATAATTTCAGAGTATACCAAGAGTATATATCTACAAAAATAAAGGAAACTAATAAACCAAAGATATCTGAGTAGAGAAGCCTAGTGTCTTAGCTCCTAGGAAGTGACACAGTGAGGTTATAGGGGATGTTCATTTACTGGAGTTTTAATCTGGCCAAAGAGTTGGAAAGGTGGTCAGCCTTTGCGTATCACTCTGTGTATTGGAAGGGTGTCATTAAG